GGCCTCTAGTCTATATATATAAAAGCCCAGCGACCAGAATGGCGGAATGACCAGAACAACCAGAATGACTGGTGGCTATAACAAGCACTGTAGCAGCCAACTAGCCTGATCCGGGCCCTGATTGGCCCCCAACACCCCGATCAGGTGCGGGGCCAGCCAGCCCACTGCCCGCGGCCCCTCACCCCAGACGGCCCAGCCCAATGGGCCCCCATCGGGGTGGGCTGGCCGGACCGGACCCATGCATGAATTTGTGCACCGGGCCTCTAGTTCTTTTATACGTAGAAACTGTACACTCTAAAATAATAATAAAAAGTATAGTATAGCAAATACATAAAGCAGTTACACAGTCATTTATTATCATAATTGTATGTGCTATTCTTTTATACAACAGGAAGCGCAGTATGTTTGTTTACAGCAGCATCACCACAAACATGTGAGTAATGCACCGTAATGATGTTATGATGGTTATAGGTGATAGGAATTTTTTAGCTGCATTAAGTCTTATGGGATCATTGTTGTATATGAGGTCCGTCATTGACCAAAGCGTCATTATGTGGTACAACACTGTAAAGACCCAGCTATCTTGGCCCAACATGGAACAGCTCTCTCAGGCCATATGTGCCCCACAGCTCGCCCTGGATTTAGCTGAGGCTTTTATGGACCTGGATCTTATTTTAACATTCCCCTCTGCCCAATCCTGCTTTCTCTATCTCCTTTACCTAAAATACCCTGTACAACACACTCCCTCTCAGTGGCTGCTTCTGGAAACCTCAACTTGTGACAGTCCCAGGAGTGGCCCAAGAAAGGAGGTGATATGATGGGGTTCTTGATCTGGATCACATGCTGGGATAGTAGAGAAGTTAACATCATTGATGGTTAAGTGGAGATAGACATTCCCTGGCATACGGAGGTGGTCCAATTTTTAAAACCCTCAACAGAGGTGAATTGGAATAGTATGCCTATGGAAAGGAATGCACTGAATGGGGTAACTTACCAAGAGTTTGAGACGTACAGAGGAATAGTAACTATAAGGACAATGGATTGGATAGCTTACTGCTGAGAATCAATGTCCTAGAAAAAGGTAACTCAAAGTTACAGGCAACTGTAACTTAAGTGTGAAAGCCAAAGAGTCTCCCTAGTAACTTAGAAAGAGGCTCCTATATACTGAAGCAGGAGAGTCTAGAAAGCTGAGGATGCCCGAGCCGGTTTGGCTCAGTGGATAGAGCATCGACCTGTGGACTAAAGGGTCCCAGGTTCTATTCCCATCAAGGGCACATGCCCGGGTTACGGGCTCGATCCCCAGTGAGGAGCATGCAGGAGGCAGGTAATCAATGATTCTCTCTCATCACTGATGTTTCTATCTCTCTCACCCTCTCCCTTCCTCTCTGAAATCAATAAAAATATTTTTTTAAAAAAATAGAAAGCTGAGGACCACAAGTGATCAATAATGTAGACCCATTAAAAGTAAGACCTTCTATTCCACCATAGGCACTAAGAAGAGGGAGAAGAGGGAAGCCACAGAGTAGGAACTCTTCACAATACATATACCCCACAGACTGCATATCCAGAATGCATAAAGAAGTATATGTCGAGGACAAAGGCAGACTACTCAATTTTAAAATAGGCAAAATATTTGGACAGACACTTTGCTAAAAGAGATACTCAAATAAAAAATTTGTGAAAATTCAATTAAATTCATCAGGAAATGCAACTTAAAACCACAAAGAGATACCACAATACTATTATCAGAATAGTACAGAGGAAAAGTTACAGTTGCCTGTAACTTTGAGTTACCTTTTTCTAGGACATTGATTCTCAGCAGTAAGCTATCCAATCCATTGTCCTTATAGTTACTATTCCTCTGTACGTTTCATTGTCAAAATGAAAAAGACAGGCGATACTAAGTATTGGGGACGATTTCGAGCCACTGCCATTTTCACACATAGCTTGTATGCCAAAATGAAAAAGACAGGCGATACTAAGTATTGGGGAAGATTTCGAGCCACTGCCATTTTCACACATAGCTTGTAGGAGTATAAATTGCTACAACCACTTTAAAAACTCTTTTGCTGAACAAATACATAGCCAATCAAAGACATGAACAAGAATAGTCATAGTATCACTATTCATAGTAGCCAGAAACAACTCAAATGTCCATCAACAAGAAAAATGCATTGTGATATAATAATATCTTAGAATACTATACAACAATGAGAATGAGTAAACCACACGAAGATGAACACATAATGGATCTCTTAAACATAATGCTGAGCAAAGGCAGCTAGATACAAAAGGAGTACATACTGTATGACTCCATTGATATCAAGTTAAGAAACAGGCAGAACTACCTAACGAGCTAGAAGTCAGGGGAGAGGTTCTTTTGGGAGGGCGAGGCTACTTGGAGAGGCCTCGGGAGCGTTTCTGAGATGCTGATCAGATTCTCCTTCTTGATCCAGATGTCAATTGCATAGGTCTGGTCACTTTGGTAAAAGTTATTGCACTGTACACATTATTTGTATGCACCCTTGTATGAATGGTACAGTTCAATTACAACTGTTAAAAATGCAACGAAACACAGACACCTACATTGCTTTCCTTTTTCCTTCTCTGGTGAGAAGCAAGTCCTGCTGATGTTGCTGCTTTCGGGTTGGTTTCTAAACTGGGAGCATTTGAGGAAATTGGGCCAGGAGGCGTTCACCATCCCCAGGACTGACTCACAGCCCTCTTTTGCAGCCTCACAGAAGGACCGACAGGGCAAGAGTCCATGTCTAGAAGAAAAGAGAAAAGTGAAAATTAATATTTTTATAGACTGCTTCTCGAAATAATACTGAAATTAAAGTTGGCCATGAGGGCTGTAATATTATCTTAATTCATATTCACTATGTCAACAACTTAAATTTCTACATTCAATCCTATAACAAGAGTGTCAGACAGCCTAATGTCCTGGTTCTAGAGGGAATAAGCCAGTTCCATAATATATCATTGATCTCCTGTAGAAGCACTGACTCCCACAGTATTTTTCTTCTTAGGTCTGAGGTGTTAACATAAACCTGTCGATCCAAAAGGAGCTCTACTTATGCCAAAAGGAGTAAATGAACCTGGAAATAAAGGCCCCCAAATGGGAAAGGCAGAAGTAGGTCACAAAATAGGTTCATCTCATTTCTGTTCTTCCCTCTGAGAAATTCACAGTATCCCTGAGAGGCAGAGAGAAGCTGTTCCTTCATTTCCACTGCCTCCCTGGAAAAGACACATAAAGACCTGTGGCAACTCAGTAATTTACTTGCAGTTACTAGTATAAGCAATGCATTTATTGACAGTTTATAAAGTTACTTATCTTCTCAGATTTCTATTTTATCTTCTGCAAAATAGAAAAATGCAGGCAACTGCCTATTAATGGTAAGAGAAACGATGCCCCGGAGCTTGCCTTTATTCACTGACATGCCATCAAACACTCTGGCTCCAGCGCGCAGGGACTTAGGTGGCTTTTTCTATTTTGCAGCTACAGACTGCATCTCTCACCCTGGCTGGTGAGCATTTCAAATGATTTTTTTTTAAAAAAACTGGGAAAGAAAATCTACATGTCAGTCAAAGCAAAGCACACACTTCGCCAATGTAGTGTCACTAACATGTTTCAGAGCCACACAACATTAGGTCTGTGAGAAACATTAAACAACACCTCGTTCAAACCCTTCATTTGAGACAGGACCTGATTCTGGGATTGACTGAAGGTCACATAGCTTCTTAATGGAAGAACTGGGAAGAGAATCCAGATGTTTCTACTTTCAGTCCACACTCTATCTACTGTTCTATATTGTCTATGCTCATATAAGGACCTAATAATTGGGCTTTAAGAGTTCCTTAATCAAATAGGATCTCTCTTGGGAGAGAGATCTTTTTATACATAAAAATGTGGAAAAGGCATACTCAGCAATTTCCTTCATATACAAGTGCTTTTGACCTCATAATCTGAAGCTTAGGAACTTGTGTTAAAACTGAATGGTTTTATTTTATTTGAGAGAGAGAGAGAGAGAGAGAGAGAGAGAGAGATCTGTTATTCCACCTCGTTATGCATTCATTGGTTGATTTTGTGCCCTGACCAGGGATTGAACCTGCAACCTTGGCATATCAGGACCAACTGAGCTACCTAGCCAGGGCCAAAACTGAATATCTTTTAGAGTCCTGATATTCACATAGCTATCTATCGACATCAATACGTCATTAAATTTGTTAGTGAACATGTAGAACGATGGGTTTTGCACTTGGAAGATTAAGCTTAAGGCATAAAACATCTTGACCTGCTCCAGGCAAGTATCTTGGTGTAAAAAGAATACCTGACTGCCACTCAGGAAATATATTAGGTATTTATAGGACTAAGAAAGTATCACTTAAATAGCATTTTCTATCTCATTCCAGAGAAGTTAGAGACTCTATTTTCTCAACTAAAACGTGGGTACATGGCTGAGGAAGGTGGAGAACATAGAATTCCTGCGCACTAGCTTACACGTTGCTAGACTCTCTTCTGAGTGCTTCGTGTCCATTGACACCTTCATTTCTCACTGCAGCTCTAAGTGCTAAGTGCAGTACTATCATCCCTAACACCCAAGTAAGGAAACTGAAGCACAGGACAAACAGGAGACTTGGCCAGGGTCACTGAGGGCGGGAGTGTCAGAGCCAGGATTCCAACCCTGGCAGACTGACCCAGGACCCACTCTATTAACTACTCTACTACATGTCAGCTCTTACTCCAGGAATGTGTGTTCCAAAGCTCAACTCAAGGGCAGTTAGGAACTTGATAGGCACTTTCAGAGTGGACCAGCCATATAAACAGAGATTAGGTTCTCCTTCATTCTACAAACACTTAGTTAAGCTGCAATGATCAGTGTTTGCCAAAGGGGCCAAGGAACACAAGGGAAGGAGAAAGGTATGTACCTTTCCTTTCCAGGTGTGAGATAGCCCACTGTAAAACTTCAAGACCAGCAAGGCTTGACTTCGGCATTTCTTCCTTTGCCTTTGCGTCCCTGCCGCAGGCCCCAGTCTCTGATATCATCCGGACCCCACTCAAGCACCCCACTAGACAGCCATCTCCACCAGAACATGACTTGCTCTTAAACATTGTCTTCCTTCCCTGCAATCAAAACTGCATTCCCCAAGTGAGCAGATCGCAATTGGGCTTTCGAAGAAGGATGACAATAGCACAGAGTAACTTATAATAACAGATGGACACTTAACCCTCCCAAAGGCGTTTGCATCATTAGAAGACTTGCTGGAGCCAAGGAACCTCTAATTAATGGCATTTCAGAAGCCATTTACAGGAGGGAAAAAGTCATCCAACACTGGGGAGGGGGAGGTCACTGCAAAGCTAACTCTGGAGGCTCAACTCTCCCAGGTGGTTCCTGGACCTTCCCTCACCTCTGAACCCACATATTTTTGGATCACACCACATTTTTTCTCGGAATCCTCTACAGTAAGAGCAATGAAGTTTCATGCAGGGGCCCAGCAGACTGCTTTCTGTTCTAAAGCTGTCTTCACTCCTAAGCTGACATTCTCATTGACTTTTCCTATGGACACTTCCCGCAAGAAAGGGTAAGTCCTCCACCGTAAAACTTTCACACGGCCACTCCTCCCTGCCTGGTCTTGTGCCAACAGTTCACCCACACCAAGACTCAGTTTCCTCATTTGAAAAGTGAGAGGTTTGGAAGAGCTGAGTTTATACGGTGCTTTTATCACTAACATTTCATACATCAAAATGTATCCTTTAACACAGTGCTTCTCAGAGGAGCAGTGACAACCCCACCGGCTTTGCTAAATTTCAAAAGGTAATAGACATTTTCTTCTCGAAATTTGTTCTGGGAATATACAGAGACATTAAAATACCATTAGGCCTCCCTCTAAAAATAGGTTCTAAGAAAAATGTCTAGAGTGTTTCCAAATAGCTCTAAGAGGTGTAACCAACAGAGGCCCATAAGCTTTAAATTGCTGGACCAGGACATGTGAAACAGTGAGAGAGTATTAATAACCAGCAGCCCTTTTGAACAGTGAGCAAAATGAGGAGCCATTTGCTCTTGTTTAGCATGACATTCAACTGCCTATGAGAAGCTGAAGTATTTTGCTTTCATCACATGGAGAAGTGGGGTGAGATAGACCACACTATTTTGGAACATAAGTGCCTATATCCAAGCAACAAGCAGACTGACATCTGAAAACAGTGCTCAGCACAGGCAGGGGTTGGATCTCGCTATCAGAATACTATTTTAGAAATGGTGATTATTTTCAATTGATGTGTGAAGTGCCCTTGGTGTCATGCAAAAGTCTCTAACACATTTCAACTAAAGTTTAAGCCAGAAACAGTTATCATATGAGTAATTATACTACATAATGATAGGAGGTTTTTATTGTGTTTCCACTAGAAGGGATGTTCTAAAATGATTTATCTATTAAAAACTTGGAGATTTTACCTATACAGTTTTAAGCAAATTTACCAACCATTTTTAAAATTTATTTACCAAATTACAGATTTTTCTTTATTATTCCCTTTTGAACAACATGTCTCCATCCCCCAAAAACTTTGACACTTCGTCTGCCAAAAAAAAGTTCTGATAAGATCTAATGTTAAAATTATTGAATAAGCTACAGCTGCAGAGTAGGCTTATATGACTAAGAATTTTAAAATTTTACAAATGGCTTTTTCTAACTTTTTAACTACTTTTGACTTATAGAAAAGTTATGAAAATAGTATAGAAAGTTGCCATATATCCTGCATCCAGGCTCCCTCAAGGCTAACACTTTATACAACTACAGTTCAATGATCAGAACCAGGAAACTAACATTGGCACAATATCTTTAACTAAATTAAATACCCCTAAAAATCTCCAGTCAGGATCTCATGTTACATTTAATTGTCATATTTTATGTTTGGCAAATAAACTCATTTTTAAATATATTAGGAGAGCTCAGGGTTTAAAACTATCCCCTCCAAAAAAAAAAAAGCATCTCCGAGGCAGACTCTAAGAGGACCCCCAATAACCTTTGGCTCCTGGTGTGCAGGCCTGTGTGAGCCCTTTCCTTTGAGTGTGGGCTGGCCTAGTGACTTGTTTCCAACCAACAGATGGTAATGGGATGTCATTTCCATCATAAATAAGAGGTGAGTTCTCTATTGCTAGAGACTCTCTCCCTTATTCACTTTGAAGAAGCACATTGCCATATTGAGGAGGCCGCATAACAAGGAGTTGAGAGTAGCCTCCGGCCAACAGCCAGCTAGAAACTAAGGCCGTCAGTCCAACAGCCCTTTGGAACTGAAATTCTTCCAACAATCACATGAACGTGAAAGTGGATCCTTCCCCAGTCGACCCGTCAAATGAGACCCCAACCCTAGCTAACACCTTGACTGTACCCATATGACAGACACTGAAGCAGAGGACCGGATTCCAGATCCACAGGAACTATGAGATAATACTTGTGTACTACTTTCAGCTGCTAAATGTGTGGTAATGTGCTTTCCAGCTATGGGTAACTGATGCACTCTTCTTTGGTATCTCGCTTGGTCAGAGGCATACTTTTGAGTTAGATGTACTATTCATTGATGACATTCACACATTCATTTTTAAAAAATATATTCCTGAATCTGTCTTTGTGAGGCTGAGCTGTTCGGTGAGCAATGCTTACAAAGTCATAGTCACAGGGAGCTCCTAGAGCTGTAGTCCTTAGTCTTGGGGAGAACGTTAATGCTGGAAGGATCTTGCAAGATAATTTATTTTTGTTTTTTCCATTT